GACAATGAAAGTAACATGAAAGCAGCATGGGAGATCATAATGGATAAATAACCACATATTACTGCAATAGGTCTATAGAAGAGCAAAGGAAGTTATAAAACATGTAAAAGCTACTCATATTGTAGCTGTAGTCTTTAAGAAGAAGCAGGAAGCAAAGAATGCAAAGAATAAAATAGTGACACAAACTCTGGAGTAAAACTAGATGGGGTGGAGTGGTGAGCTCATTTGAAAGTTTACTGAAAAAGAAAGCAGCTCTTCAAGAAACAGTAATAATTGAGGATCTAAAGTACTCATAAGTGGAAGGAACACTGTACTTGATGAGGGTGCCTTCTGGGTTCAGCTGCAGAACTCCCTGAAGATTCTAAAGCCAATTTCTTCAGCAATCACTGCACCTGAATCAGACAGTGCACTTCTGTCAGACATTCCTTACCAAACAGCCCAGATAAAACTCAACTGTTTTTGAGAATCTAAGTGTATCTCCACTTACAAGTACAGAAGAAAAGTGAGTTTATTAACAGACAGGAAGAATTTTGTTGCCAATCAATTCATGCTGCTGCAAAGCTCTTGGATCCAAAATTCAAAAGCAGAAATGTTAGAGATGATAGCACTGCCACTGCATTTGACTGGATTACGAAACAAGCAACACATGTAGAACTTGATGTTGGAAAGGTAGTTTCAAATGTTGCAGAATACAGAACATCTTCAGGTATTTAGTATAGGAACGCAGTCTGGGTCTCTGCCAAGTATATCCCTCCTGCAACATGGTAGCAAGGCCTTTGCACAACACAGCCTCCGACTCCTCTTGCTTTTCACCTACTTCACATTCCATCTTATGCAGCATGTGATAGAAACTGGTCTATAATTTGGAAATACTCACACCAAATCAAGAAATAAATTAACATGTGAAAGAGTAGAGAAGCTTGTCTCAATCTGGGCAAACCTTCAATTTTCAGAAGTCCATGAAGATGATAAAAATGAAGGATCAGAAGAAGCAGAAGAAGAAACTGCTGATAGTGATAGCTCAAAAAATGAGACTGATTAGACAGTTTCATGTAGCAAAATTTGTATTCAATGAGTCGTTTTCTCCCCCTTTCTCTAGCACTGTTTCTAAAAATGAGTGCTTTCTGTATCTGCTTGACACTGTGGAAGAGATCAGGTCCAGAATACATAACAACTTTCTTTGTTTTACTATAATGTTGAAGCTTTCTTCTATTTTCAACTTTAATTTTTGCCTGCTTCTCATAAATTGGCAAAAACTAAGAGATGCTAGGTTCTTTAGAGTTCAGCTGCTTGTAGCTCCATTTGTAACAAAAATTAAAAACATTTTAAGGTATGTTCAATTAGTAAATTTGTAATTATTGTCTGAATTAATTAAACTTTTAAATTTAATAAATATACCAAACATAATTTTATGAGCAAAACCAAGTTATGCATAATGCATTTTGTGTTCTTAAGGTAGCAACATGTATTTAGATCTGTAAAGGGCGCTAAGAAAATAAGTATTGTATATTGTGATGGTGGACCTTACGATGTCTCTCTCTATCCTCTTATAATCTCCCAAAGAGTTGTAAGTACCCCGACTTTTCCTCCTGCCACATCTGGGATGCTATTATAATATGTTCTGCTTTATGATGTCACTCATTGGGAGGGTTGTTATATATATTTGTTGTTTTGTTTTATTTATTTATTTATAATTTTTTTTGGTGTCTCTGTTAGGAGTCCAGGTGTTATGGAAGAAAACTTCACTCGACTATTCACACATACTCACCTATATATATTCAGAATCAGATGCAGATTAACACATCTTTATTTTTATTCTTTGTAACACTATACAAACTTTATCTTTAAACAGAAGTGGTCCATTTATCTTTTTTAGTGCCAGTTTTATCAACTTTGTAATTCTATCTATATACTGTTCTTACTTATTATCAGTTTGGTCCGGTTGAACTTGGTGTTAGTAAACAAAGTCCCTTTAACTCTGGTTCATCTGTTTCTTTCTTTTTTTTGGTGCAGAATTTTCTCTTCAAACCTTGTTGTATTCTCTCTCTTCATCTCTGTTATCACCAGTGTGTGGGGAGCCTGAGCCCACAGTGGCCAGGGAGAATGAACCAGCAGCATACCTACAGGCCAGGGAACTCTCTTCTCATCAGCAGAGACAGAAAAGAATCTTGGAGTCATTATAAACTCCAAGATGAACATGGGCTGCCAATGTGGGGATGCAGGAAGGCTAATCGCACCTTGTCATACATCCACAGATGCAACACGAGCAGGTCCAAGGAGGTGATCCTCCCCCTCTATGACGTTGGTCAGGCCACAGTTGGAGTACTGCATCCAGTTCTGGGCGCCACACTTCAGGAGGGATGTGGACAACATCATGCGAGTGGCCCTTCTCCAGACCCTCTCGATCGGGGGCAGCAGGGCAGGCCCTATGAGAACAGGCTACGAGACCTGAACCTGTTCAGCCTCCACAAGAGAAGGCTGAGATGGGATCTGGTGGTGGTCTATAAACTGGCCAAGGGAGACCAGTAGGCAATGGGAGAGTCCCTGTTCCCCTGAGCACTACTGGGAGTAACAAGGAATAGCAGCCAGAAGTTGATGGAGAGTAGATTCAGGCTAGATATCAGGAGGCACTACTGTACAGTCAAGGCGGCTAAGATCTAGAACCAACTTCCAAGGGAGGTGTTGCTTGCACTTACCTTGGGGGTCTTAAAAAGGAGGCTAGACACCTTGCCAGGGGCTTTTGACCCCAGCATTCCTTCCTGCCCACAGCAGGGGATCAGACTTGATGATCTGCTCAGGTCCCTTCCAACCCTACCAACTATGAAACTATATCCACCTCCCCCCTCAATAAATCTCAGGGGGGAGATGCTCTCCAAGCTGCCTGGCAACCATGTGCACAAAACACTCCCTGTCTGAAGAACTGTGGAATTTCTTGAGGGGAGTGACACTGATGCATTGCACCAGTAATCATAGCTGTTGACAATAACAGGTTATAGATTTCATAGATTTTCAGGGTTGGAAGGGACTTCAGCAGATCATCGGGTCCAACCCCCCATGCTGAGCAGCAAAGAGCCTGGGGTCAGACAACCCCAGCCAGGTGTTTGTCCAGTCTCTTCTTAAACTCCCCCAAGTTAAGGGAGAGCACCACCTCCCTTGGAAGCCCACTCCAGATTCTGGTAACCCTTACCATAAAGTTCTTATTAATGTCTAGTCTAAATCTGCTGCCAGTTTGTGGCTGTTGTTTCTAGTTACTCCAATGGGCATCTTGGTAAACAGAGTATTCTCCTGTTCCTTGCTACCCTCCCCCTACCCCAACCAATTTGTAGACAGCCACCAAATCCCCTCTCAGCTTTCTTATGGAGGCTTTAGAGATCTAGGTCCCTCAACCTTTCCTTATAGGACCCATCCTGCAGGCCCCTAATCATACACGTGGCCCTCCTCTGGACCCTCTCAAGATTATCCACTTCCCATTTGAAGTGCAGCACCCAAAACTGAATGCAGTACTCCAGCTGTGGCCTTACCATTGCCACAAAGAGAAGTACCACCTTCGTAGACATGGTTGTGATGCACCTATTAATGCATGGTAGAGTGCAGTTAGCTCTGTTTATCATTTCATCACATTGCCAATTCACATTCATCTTTGACTCTGAGATCCCTTTCTGCTGCTGTCCTGCTTAGAAAGTCCTCTCCCAATCTGCAAGTGTGCTGGTGATTCCTTCTCCCTAGATGCAATACTCTGCACTTATCCTTGTTAAACTGCATCCTGTTAAACTGCTTGTCCAAATCTGCCCAAATCCACTCCCTGCCCTCTAGCGCGTCTGCTTTGCCTCATAATTTAGTGTCCTCTGTGAATTTGAACAGTGTGTTCCCTATGCCCATGTCCAAATCATTGATTATGTTGAACAGCACTGGCTCAAGGACTGAGCCCTGGGGGACACCACTGCCCAGGGTGTTAACATCATTCCAGATTGATATTGACCCATCCACCACCACTCTTTGGGTGTGTCCCATTAGCCAATTTTCTAAACACCTGACTGTAATTAATCATGCCACAGCTGCTCAGATTTTTTTTTTCCCCCCCACACACAACAGTAGGATGTGACAGTATCAAAGGGTTTTTTAAAAATCTGAATAGACGACTCATCCAAAGGAAAAAAAACCCCACAATGCAAGTAAAGTTCTGAATCTTTGCCCTTATAGGCAGTTTGGATTCACTGCTTGCATCACAAACATCAAGACCCTGGAAACAATTGAAAATATATATTTCTTTATGTCCTGTCAAGCTTTAAACCAAAATGTTAACTTGTGATCATACCCCCTAAATGAGCCACTTGCTCATCATCAAGTGGGTTCTTCTTACGAAGTTTGGATTGCAATTACTCTCCTCAGGAGAGAGCTACTAGCAGCTCAACTGAAATTCCTACTGCCTGATGAGCAAGTGCTCAGGATAAATAGTCAACATCTTGTGGCACTAACAGCAAAATTCAGGGGCATGAGTTGAAGTGTGCAGCTTAAGCCTGAAGTCTTCAGCAACAACAACTCTTTCCAAATTCCACAGTTAATGTAGCAGCTCCCTTGAGACTATAGACTGCAATACAACAGTACCAGTCCATAGGCAAGACATTTGGCACATCAGGTTAACAGCTGAGAATACAATGCAACCTTCATCCAAGAAGGGAAGACATGACAATGGAACTTGCATTTTACATGGGGGTACAAATATAAAAGGCCATCTATTGCAAACGCTTATTCAAAATTTAGAAAGCTCCCTCTCTCTCTAACCAGAACAGTAAGATTGATCAATCCATCTTATAAAACAAGATGGAAAAGCATCAGATGTACAGCAAGTATATTTTGCCAGTGAAGTAGTTCAGATTTGACCAGCCAGGAGGACAGCAGTACATAACTTCAAAAAACCCTACAAAGCCATGCACCCACTGGCATAATTTATTCTTCTGGAGTCATTACACCAAGATTGACAGTAAATACTCAAACCACCATGACCACTAAGCAAACAACTTTATTTTTACATTAGAATATGTTGAACAAGTCTTTATAACACCATATATCAATTTTTATTGCACAAGTAAAACAACAACAGTAAAACAGCAATGATTACTCGAAAACAGTGCTCTTGATACAAAATAATGGGTTATAGATTTCATAAATTTTAAGGGCCGGAAGGGACCTCAAGCTAATGAAAGGTTATTGTACCCTTGCAGACAGTTGAAGTATGTTTGGTAACAGCCAAAGTTCTCCTCCTTTGTCCAGGACAGCTTCATGAAAAAAGGTATGTGTCAGTTTTCATAGTCTACCAGGCATATCTTTTGCTCAAGTTGTAGGATGGATCTTACCAGCACTGCTCTGTGAAGTCTATCACAGAAGTTTGATATCCATCACCCAGCCTTAAATGATGCCAAAGGGCAACATTCAAGTAAATCATTAGTCTGCAACAGATTCATTCCAAGTTGCTACAATAAATATTTCTACCAAAGATTATTCAGTTTTGAGAATACTGGAACAAGTGTGAAAAGATCTTGTGGGAAAGCAAGTTGTTATGGGAATTTAAGAGCTAAAGTAGGGATTTTTAGAAGTGCTTATGAGATTCAGTGTCACAAGTAAAAAAGAACTGTGCTCCAGTCATACAAGCACTTCAAAAATTCCACCTATTATTGTCATGGAACTAAGATCCTAAATGTGGAAACCTTAAACCCAAGGCCAGTTAGCCCAGGTAGATATTTGAGGCAAAACAGCAATCACGAATCTAATGCATACACTTCATTGGGTGAATGGAGCTGTTACAAAGTTTAGAAGCTGCTATTAAATGCTATATTTGACTACCATTGTTGTTAGGAAAAAGAAAAAGCTTGCAGCTGGAGACTGCCAGTCACTTCTTTTAAAAAGACTGGCAGAAGGGAAGTCAGACAGCGTCTTTTAGAAAGATGCCACTATGCCCTGCCTTCCACTTGATTTCAGACTAATACAACTAACTACCTCTTTTAAAAGAACTTAAAAGTTCACAGTTTTGAATGAGAAAGACTAGCTTCTGAACACACGGCTTTTATACAGTGCTTTACAAGGAAGGTAAAACCATCATTGCTACATCTTGCAGAGAGCTGAACATGTTAAGGGTGGAAACAGTGCTCAACCCATAGTGCTAGGAAGCAATTTCCTTTTCTCCCCTTGAAACTAATCTTGTGCACAGCAGTCTGGGAGGCACAGATCTCTAGAGTTCATAGCATAAGCAAACAGTGCTGCACTGTTCTGCACAGCATTGTGGAGGCAGAAGATGCACAGAACCCTCTGTTGATAGCAAAATATGCATATACTGAACAGAGTGATAACAATTACAGCAGAAGAAACACAGAAATAGTGTAGCAGAGCAAAACTGAATATCTGTTAATAAAACTGGGGCCACAATTTATCCACATTATGGCAAAACTAGCTAATTTGTTTACTTGTGGCAAAGAGACTTGATTAAATGAACTCTTGTATGTTTTAGCCCAGTAGCTATCTATTTTGAAAAGGGAACCAAGGCCCTGAACAAAAGTGAGCTTCTAAAAAAAAAAAAGTCATCAAACGAGTGCAGCATTTTAAAGTTTTGAGTGTAATGAAAAGCCTACACTTGTAGTGCAACTACTTCTGTGAATTTTTTATGGACAAAGTCACAAAATAAAAAAAAATAGGTAGCCCACAAAAAGAGGGAAAAAAAAATCACCTGGGGAGCTCAAAACTGTAGACAAAGATTTCACAGAAGAGAAAAGTCATACAAGCATAATGGAGATATAAAGCCTTTCAAATTAACATACCCCAAGCTACTTACTGTGAAGACATTTACTTACATACAGGAAAAAAGATTTTCCTACTCATCTCCAAGCTGCTTAGTCATTGTTGAAAAGAAACACGAAGTGAAATGCTTTGGACAAACTTTAACAATCCAAGATCTGTGAAGAAGAGAACCCAAACAAGCTACACACCATTTGGAAGTGATATCCAGTGAATCACAATGGTCAATCAGGGCTCCTATGCACATGTGGAGCCTGCTCCAACGTGCTGGAAATCCAGTGTCAGAACAAACTTAATTAATCGAGTCTGCTGAAGTATGGAAACTGACACACTCAGGCAGCCGTCTGCATGATGTGCAGCAGTGTCCCAGCGCGTCTCCACACTGAAAAAATGGCGGTGGGGAGCTTTGAAATAAAACTCATTCAATGAGCTTTAGTTAAGTGTCCCGCCACCGTTTTTTCAGCACCAAGACGCTGATACACCTGATGCACAGGCGCTTTTAATTAATTAGTGTGGCTTGCTAATTAAAGCACCCAGCGCTGCATCCCACAGCATATATAAAAATGTTCTCAGTATCCAGTTCTGAAATGACTACAGATTAGTACAGGCATGTCAAACATCCAAACTGATGACTGGATGGGGGATCTTCCTGTAGCAGTAGCCAAGCACTCAGGTAGGAATGAGGGGGTTGGAGCCCCAGCAGCACCATGGGAAGGAGCTAGGCTTTTTAGCTTGTTCTCACAGCAGCAGCCGCCAAGGACCCAGGATACCAGGCCTCTTCCCACTGGATCCCAGACCAGAAGTTGAAGGGGGTAGAAAGGGGATACATGGGCCCAATACAGCCCATAGGCCTAGGCACACACCATTTACCTGGCCCATGGACGAATCGTGCACCACTTACCTGGGCAAGACTAGATCGACACCCCTGGATTAGAGCACTATTTTTAAAGTAAATCCATGCAAGCTAACTGAATTATTAGAGGTCTCTTTCCTATCCTGGGATTTGGCAGACCTAGGCTTAATTCCTACACTGCAGACTTGTGACCCAAACTGAGTCCTTTACTCTGTACCCTCCATGCCTTAGTTTATACAGAGATGACAGCACTCCTTTTCTGACAGGCATGTTGTGAAACTAACTACATTAAAACTGTGAGGCACTCTGGAAGTACGCATTCCATCAGAAGACGACTATAGACAGTATTAGTAGATACAGCTCTAAGAAAGGGTGACCAAAAAAAACAACAACCCCCCCTATACTTTGATCTCACAATCACTGACCATCACAACAACTTCTATACTAACTTTGGACGAAGCTACTAACTTACACACTGAAGGATTCAGAATCATTATTTTATGCACCTCACTTTCACTCAAATATAGAAATTTTCTCTATAATTTTACGTTCTCCTAAAGGTCTGCATTTCCAGCTAGTGGATATGCATCTCAGATTTTTATATATGGTTCCTCTAGACATAAATCATAGAAAGTTTACTATTTGTGGTTGACATATTTAAACTACAAGCATTTGTGACTGACAATTGCCATAGATCTAATTCTCCCTTCTCTTATGTGGGTTCTGTAGCAGATGGAAGAATTATCTATATGATGGTTCTAAAACATTCACCAAGTTATTTGTCATTGGTGCTAAGTTTCTTAACTGTATGCTTTGCAAATCTATAAAAATGTGGCATATTAGTCAATACAGCAACCAAGTTTATAGCTACTTAAAGTTATTTAGAAAAAAGAAAAATTGAGACGTGAAAGTGAAATGTTGCCATTTGATTTCTCATATCCTCAAGAGCCCAAAGTCATCCTTTCTACACTTAAGAAGTCTGTCTAGCTTCCATTAGGTTTCAAGTAGAGAACCATTATTCCACTAAGTTACTCCCATAGAAGTGGAGAAAATTTAACGTGATGCACATGCTGCCCCAATGCCAAGGCCAGATCCTTTGCCTTGAAGAATAGTTAAAGGTCCTTGCTCTTTTAGTTTCACCTGTCTAAAGTCTTCTCTAACTTTTTCCAGAAGGTCTGGCTTGAAAATAATATCCAATGCAGTCATCGCCAAAGCTTTTGCTGTGCGCAAAGCATAGAACTGAGCTTCTTCTGACCCTGTAGTAAAAAGCAAGACATTACAGGTTAAGATATCGCTACTAAAGCCATGTATTTAATGACTGCAAATAAAATATTTGAGGAAAAGTGTCAGTTTAAACTCCAAATCATTTTCTAAATTTCTACTTGCAAAAATGCTTCTAAATGCAAAGTTCTATGCTTTGCGC